TAGCACAGTACTAAGGGACACTGCAAAACCAAGCAATCATCCTGCAGGCCAGGGTGCAGCTGGACAGATCCAGGAGGCTCACTGGTGGCTGTCAAAACCAAGGGGAATCCACAGGAAGAACCCTGGGGCTCCCCGGGTGCATTTACTTGTGGACCAAGGATATTTGCAAGCAACTGGCAAAAGCAAGTCTGTGGCCTGAGCTTCAGGTGGTCAGGGGACATTAATTGCAAGTTATTTCTTAATGTCCTTCTCCAAGCCTTCAAGAATGATAGCCATTTTGCAAATTAAATCTTGCAGGTATTTAAAGGAAAAAGAGTAGACAGGTTAATCACTAGATTAACATGGCAATTGTTACACATTTCTTCTGCACTACTTGGTTCTATAATTAAGTCTGAAACTGAGAAATCTTTCCCAGGATATATTCAACTTTAATAAAAAGACAAATAGACTATGTCTAAATAAAATAGACTCCAAATAACATGATGATACATGCTAATTAGAGATGGGTTCTTCCAAAAGAAATCTCTTCTAAGAAGAGATCACTGTATAACCAAGAATATAGTTTGAAAGTAAAAGAAGTGCTAATAATACAATATTCTCCTCCTTGAATATTTATGTTATTATTATAATGATTGTTAGGAAATCTTAATGGCATCATTTGCAAATGTTGTTTCTGTCTATATCATCTTTTTCTTTTTAATGCATCCTTGTCCTCATCTCTGAGCCACATTGGTTTCTTCCCATTATGGACTGCTGGGGAACAACAATATTATGCTATTGAAGAAGTATTTCAATCTTTTTTTTTCTTTTTTTTGAGATAGGGTCTTGCTTTGTTGCCCAGGCAGGAGTACAACGGCCCAGTCATGGCTCACTGCAGCCCCAGCCTCCTGGGCTAAGCAATCCTCCCATCTCAGCCTCCTGAGTAACTGGGACTACAGGTGAGCACCATCACACCCAGCTAATTTTTGCATGTTTTGTAGACAGGGTCTCGCTCTATTGCCTAGGCTGGTCTTAAACTCCTGGGCTCAAACAATCCTCCTACCTCCACCTCCCAAAGTGCTGGGATTACAGGCATGAGCCATGGCACCCGGCTTTTCAAATTATGAGAAAAACTAGAACAAGGAAGCAAAACTTTGGTGCTCTTAGGAATTTGTGTTTACTTGTAAATTATCAACATTCCTAATCCACAAAGAACACTAAAAACTCGAGATCTGAACAAGAAAAGTAAACAATCATCCTTTACATTGCCTGCAGTGGCCGTTTGTCTTGACTTTTGATTTCCTTCCTGATTTTTGGATATTAGTTTGGACAATAAGATATTTCCCATGTAAAAGGAAAGAGATCAAACACAGGCCATTTGGAAGTGACTAATATTTGCGGTCTTGTTTGTTACTCCTTTTTAGAGGGATAATGGTTACAAGACATTACTCCCTTAGGGAAGAGAATTTTTAAGTGTGTATTACTATGTAAAGTAAAACTGGTGTTAGCAAGTTGAACTAAATGTTTCTACAAGAGTGCAAAATCACTAAGGAGTCTCTGCAACTTTCCAGTTCCTAGGTGAATCACAAGGACAGAAACGCTCTCAGGTCCAAAAACAGGCTGGGAAAAGAGTGAGCTATTAGTTCCCTGAAAAGTCTCTAACACATGAAATAATGAGATTTACATCCCATTGTCATACATTGCCCACAGACTACACAAGTATTTTTCTTACCTACTGTTTCAAAAATTTTAAGCCAGCAAATAAGCCTTCGGGGATAAGGATCCTACAAAATATATTATGAATTAACACTATCCATTTCTTAAGCCAACATTCTGAAATGTGTAAACTAGTAGTTAGAGTCCTTAAGTGAATACAGCTGTGATTCATGGTCCTCTCCTGGCAGTGTTGAGCAGAAGTATTTTGAAGAAAGCCTAATATTTGTAGCAATCCAGACAACTCTTCAAATAAAAATTTAAATTCAGTTAAAAATATAACCTATATACTATATAGGTTAACCTGGCTTCAATCCATCCCACCTTATTGCATACTGACAATCTGTGAGAGATGTATGTGACACTTTCAACCCACCCCATTAAACAGACAGAAAAACCCAAAGAGAAATGAAGAATTGACAGGCAAACGAAATTTAAAGAGCCCATTTTCAGTGGGCCATCATTTTGAGAGTTGGGTTATTTTTGTCCTTGTTTTTAGCAGCAAATCAATTCCTGACTCTACACCCAAGCGTGTGTGAAGAGAAACGCACAGAGACCACAAGCACAGCTGTCCAATTTACATTCACAAATGCAGGTGTTGCTCAGACACAAAACAGAGGTCAGCTGAATACTGCTCCTAATTAGCTACCTTTTCTACTAGGATTTTTCTTTGTAAAGTTATGCATGCAATTTGGGTTCAACTTGGAGACCATTTTTAGATCCCAGCATGCTATCCAGTAAGAAGCGGGCTGTCATTATAAAGCATAATTTACAGCACAGTTAATTTTATGTTTTTTTTAAGTCTACACTATACCTAAGGCAAAATTCTGTTCTGCACACACACATTATTCACTCTGTTTCCTATCCACTTCTCAATACTTAAAAAAGGTAGAATTTAGCCAGAAAAAAAATCTGTTATGTAGGAATGGGAAGAATTTTGCCCTTTTTCTAAGATTAAGAAAGTCCATAATTAATTAACAAGGACTAAGGACTTTGTTAAATGATACAAGAAGAGAAGTAGCTATTTGCTATTGTCTTCAGTACGGAACACCCAAGGGCTTATTACAAGCAGTTCTTAGAAATGGCAGGATGGAGACTGGTATCTAATACAATCCATTAGGAAACCCAAGCCCTAAATAAAATGACCACAAAATCCTATCAGTTAACAGAAATGCAGCAGCTGTACATGTTTATTGTAATACAATATAATATTGTAACAGAGATAACACTCTTTAAAATAAAAAAAAAAAAAGCCAGCAAGTGATATGACTAGTTTATTTCTCTATTTGGGGAAAAAAAAACACACAAGAAGGCATAGCATGTCAGAGCTTTGGGACATATAAGGAAGGATGAAGACTACAGAGAAGGCAGGAATTGTTTGTACACTAATAGACAACTGAGATCAGCTGGCAAAGTCACTGGCTAAACACCAAACCACTGCAACTTCCAGGTTTAGCAAGATGTTCAAAGACATACCCCAGTAACTCCTGGTAGAAAGTGAAATGTGATGGGCTTCCTCCCACTGCTGACTTTACCTGCTGTAAGTATTCCAAATGCTAACTCCTATTCTGGCTCCCAGTTATCCATTTTCCAAAAATGTACACTATGAAAGCTTAAATTCAGTTTGACCTTAAACTTTATAATGATGTAAACAATATAGATATAGATATGGTATTCTGGAGTGTTTTTCCAAATGGAATCAGGTGCCTTTCTTCAAAGGCTCACTATAAAATACAGTTTGCAAAATATAACATGTATCACCAGGATTGTGACATATCCACCTTGCTTGATTTTAGTCCCTACAGGCAGCCCATCAAGATTCAGACCCATAACCTTCAGAATTATAGAAAGACAAAAAGCCCTGTTCTATAGCCATCTTCTGCGATGGAATGCAAAGTATTTTGTTGTGGTAAGTAGGGCTTTGAAGAAGAAAGCACTGGGCCCACTCCTGGGGTTGTTACTCCAGTGCTCAGCATTCAAAACGGGAGCCCCAGGGTCTCGTAGATCATTTTAATCCCCCTATATTAAAACAAAACGTGTCTCCCATTTTCTTCCCACCCTCCTCCCCAGATTCACTGGCTCCTCCCAGGGGAAAGTGAACTTGACTGCTGACAGTCCCAGAAGAATTCCAAACAATTTCCTTACTTGCCTCTCTGTTCCAGTGAAGATTATGAGCCTAACTCTTAGAGACTGCTACTAAAATTCCACCCCGCTGAATTCTGCAGCCTAATTCTTTCGGCATTATGTTTTTTGGCAGAATGAATGTGACCCAAATTTGCAGGAGATAATTTGCTGCAACAGTGCTTCTTGCAATGCAGTGAGCCCATAATTAGCATTTCGGGATTGCAAATATCACACTTTTAGAAAAATAATAATTGTTTGCTTCAAGAAAGAACAGATTTGGATCTTGTATTATAGAAATGGAAACAACAAAATGTGGACAATTTTAGTAAAGATTTTATGAATTAAGGAAGCTTTACATATCAATGGAAAATAATTGAGGACTAGCAAGTTACCTCAGTAGTTGGTGGCAAAGGCTACAGCAGTTCTTTAAGGATTCAGAAAATAGTTGTGTGCATGTGTGTGTGATCGTAAAAATATCATGCATTCCATTTCCCATCCATGGTGGCTAACACTATTCAAAAAGGACATTTTCAGACCTGGGATGTCTTTAAAATAAAACAAAAAAAAATTTTAATGATGGCTGTTCCTGTGTTTACCCACCATGCTTCTTGCAAATGCTTGGCTATGTGAGCAATGTTGTTTCATGTATTCATGATTTCATTTTTTCTCAGTATCAATCAGTTTTAACGTAAGATGTCAAGAGAGACTTAACATTTTTCTTGACAAGAACTCGTGGGCCAGATTTTGAAAAGAGCAATAGCAATATTTCCACTGGGTACAAGAATTAAACTAAGTGGGCTAAAACTTTCTGGCCATGCTTTTGTGGCTAATTACTTGGCTTTTATAAGGAATATCTACCACTTATCTTTCATGGACTCAGAGTGCAGTCTGCACTCTACTGCTGGAAATACACTGGCCATGAGGACACCAGCTGTGATCACAGTGTCCTCATCAGATTCATTCACCCTCTCAGAACACAAACACTAAGCCAAGAGAAACACATTAGAAGGGGATTCCTTATTCCAAAAGGTTAAGCATGACACAAAAGGGGAATCAACAAAACAGAAAGAATAAAAATATAAAAGTAAAAGGTGCGCAGTGTTTTCCACTAGAAGCTACGTGGCACATGCGCGTGTGGGCTGGTGAGGCCTGTGGGGGGCCGCCTCTCTCTCCGGTGCTCTTACCTTATTTCTCTTGAAGTAGGCTCGTCGGCAGGCCGCAAAGCACTTCTCGCTGCAGAAGCTTTTCACCTCACTTCCCATACTCAGGGAATAGCGCTTGATTCCCACTTTCTGGCACCAGGCACACATTATTTGTACATTTGACACATCATCTTCTATAATAAAAGTATAAGAAAAATGTTCATATCAGAAGCAAACATCCCTTCAAATTTAGACACACCCTGAACCTGACAGAGCTACCCAGGCCTGATTTTAGTTTCTGGACCTTGGAGGAGAAGTGCTTTTTCTTTCTCTCTCTCTTTCTCTTTTTTTGGCTCCTAAGTTTCCAAAAGACATTTACTTAAAAACCAGAGCATGACGGCAGAGCCACAAGGGCTCCTAGGGCTTCCTAGCCTGGTTTAAAAAAAAAAAAAAAAAAAAAGCTTCATCTGCCTAGTTAAACCAGCCCCAGTACTAATGAAGCTTGTAAAATAACCTGTTTCTTCAAAGGTCCTGTGAAAGCCTGCAGGATCTGCACTGGGTGGGACAATTTGTAGGGTGCTAACTTACAAATGGAACACCCTTATGTGAACCTTGACCAGGCGCCAGGCTCAACCATGGCATGTTCCCTATTACTGTTAAACGATATGTGCTATTGTTTACTCTTGCAATGTAATAATTCCCAAGCAATGCTCTTAGTCAAAAAAGGAAAGATGTGCGCGGCCAGATTCTGGCAATGGAAAGGGACAAGCCTGGCTCGCTGAACAGACTCTGACAATGCAGCCTTCCGGCGCTGGTGTCCTAAGGGAGATGCAGGCCTGATTGAAATTCTCCTCCATGTGATGTGGTTCATGGGCCCTGGATGGAGGGATGGTAATGGAAATGTCAGATCATTCTCAGCCAGATTGGTGGTCCTCCCAGCCCCTCATGTCATGTCATGGGGTTGTTCAGAATGAATTTAGGCGGTTTGCAAACATTTCCACTATTTAAATTGTATTTCTTTTCCTTTGTATGAGAAGAAAACAAATTTAACTAGCATAATGAGCCCATGATATCACAAATACTACTGCTTAAAACAAAGAAAGGATTTTAAAGTGAGTCAATTAGTAAAATATATTCAGTAAATCATAGTGCGGGTAGTCAGAAGTTATGACAAAAATTATGATGGTGATATTCAGGTCTGGGAAAAACTGGCCTCTCTGAGGGGTGGGTAGGGGTGAATAAAAGGACTTTAAGTAGACACCTAAGTAATATTTCCTTGTTGCCTCTTAACAGCTTTTGCTACATCTTGAGTTTTCTCTGTCCTCCCAATTGACAGTGAGTGTGTGTGTGCGTGTGTGTGTGTGTGCGTGTGTGTGTGTGTGTGTGTGTGAGACTGCCACATCTCTTCTTCCTTTATGGAATTTTTATTATTATTATTATCCCACACTCATGCTCCAGACATGAATGGTAATCACAAAATCCCCAACAAGCACTAGTATAGTGTTGTCTGATTTCTGGATAAAATCCCCCAAAGACTAATTGCTAAGCAAGGCCTGGTCCACGAGCGTTGACATATTCAGGGTTCATAGAGTCTGTCATGCAATCATTTCATTTCCAGGGAAAAGATTTGGTTTGAGGCAGTGTGGTCATCAGCCTGCAAAATTAGAAGCAAACTAATTTGTAGTGCAGTGATACGGCTTTTTTTCCCCCTGAGCATCAGCACTCAGAACTATGTGCAGCGTTTTATTTACCTCAATGGAAGAAATATTGCCATTCTAATGACCTTTTTGTATTTCACAAATTACATATTGTGATCTATTGTTATCAAATGAGATAGTATTAAAAATGACCTTTGATGTCAAACATTTTTGATAACTTTCTTTAAATGGCATAATACAAATTCAAATGTCAAACAATTACTGTATTTAATAATTTGCTCTGTTCAAAGCAAGCTTTTTGATATTTCAGGAATATCCTTAACAAAAAAAATTTAAAAATAAATAAAAGTAAGCTTTTATTTATATTTTACATGATCTCTAATATGGCATCTCTCTAGATATGAACATTTTACATGGTATGAAAAATTAGCAAAGCTTTATAATTTACCTTAGTGTGTAGAGGAGTTTTCTGAGATTAGAAAGAGCATATATTTTAAAATAATCACCTGTCTTTACTAAACTAGATAGCAACTAATAGTTTCTATTTTTCCCAATTGATAAGATGCTTTAAAATCTTAAATTCCTGAAAAAGAAGATACAGCAGAATTCTCATAAATGATCCACTGGAAGTAAGCTTGATTCTGGTGAAATCTGTAAGGAAAAAAATTTATGCGGGAAATCACCTGGCCTCACAGTTTAAAGAGGAGACCCCACTTCCCAAGGAGCCATTTTAGAACATGCATTAGATCCCCCTCATTATTTCTTCCTTTAAATAATCTGATTTGGGAAACAAAGCATAAAATTGTTTAAGTCCTAGATCTTCAGCTATAATGGACCAACACTGACATAAGAAAGAATAGAGTGCAAAGCTATTCACAAGGCCAGGCGCTTAGCGTGCAGCTTGGGCCTGGCCTGGAGGAATGATGCTTGAGGCCAAAGGGCAGCTCCGGGGTCTTTCTCAAGCTTCAATCCATCATCACCAGACAGACCCACTTGTCATTTTTTAAAGGGAGGCAAGAATACTTTCTTACAATGGACCTAACAAATAAACGAACAAAAAGGTAGAATTTTAAAACAGATTATTTCTTACAAATCATTCTTACTGCAAAGCAACAATATGAGATGAGACCATATAAATTGTGCACTTTTATATCTGGCAGCTGGAAAGACTTCTAGAATGATGGTTAGCATCTGCCTTGTTAAATAAGTCGACGTTCCCAGCAGTTTTTCACGTAACTCTATTTCATAAAGGTATATGCTTTGGAAAAAGCCCATCGGATTTCTCCTTTTCTAGTATTAAACTGTTATCAGCAGCTAATGATCCAAAGAACAGTCTGATAATTGGGTTATTCAAAAAATTTAAAAAACATTTTCCGATATTTCAGGCATTCTAGATTAATAAAAGTCATTTATATCAGTGATACATTTTAAAAACTAATAAAGAACTGTGATTATCTAAATTAATATTGTCAGTCAAACTATAGTTCAAAATTCTGTCACCAGACATGAGATGGTGTCCCTATCTTATGACTGCACCCCTAGAAAAGTGAACACTTCTTAAGTGGTTAAAGCCAAAGGGATCAGTCCACTTCAACATCTACATCTCTTTCTACCTGAAACATGGAAATGAAATGCAGGCTTTACAATGGCAAAATAGAAGGTTTCAGCACTTTAACTTTTCTAACTTGATCTGCTTTAAATTTTTTTCTATTTAAAAAAATATTTCTTCAAGCTAGGGAAAACCTAATTACCTATCTTACATTTTGGCTAACGGTCTGTGCCATTAGAGACTTGAGATTACCTCAGAGAAGATTCACGTAACAGATTTTTACATTACATTATCTTACAGCCATTAGCCTGTGCATTTTTATAATAAACAATGCACTGACAAATGTAAAATGTTTACAGCATTAAATCACATTCCCACAGAGAACGCTTTGTATAACATAATAAAATTTTCATACGATAATATCATATAAATACGTATCAGTCAAAATATGCATATTTCAATTAATCATGAAAAATTTGTACCACCTCTTTAGAATTTAATTAAACAGAATGTTTAAGGCATTTTCTTTCCAATCTAATGTTTAAAGAGCTATAGAACATTTTTCTACTTTACATCCCAGAAATTCAAATTAACTACTCCAAGATAAAATCAAAATTGTATTTATCTATCACAGTACAGAGAAGTATGAGATCAAGCATTTCTGGAATGCCCTGCTGAAGTTGTTTGAGAAATTGCCTTATCTGGTGACTTTAAAAAATAAGGATGGCCATTGGTCAGCGATCTTCTTGGGGCATTTAAATTGGCTATAAACATGTATACTAACTTACCTGACCAGCACCCAAAGAAAATCAGTAGGGCATTAATGGACTCCAGGCAATTAAACTGTAGATTTACCACCCCTTTGTAACTTTCATGGGAGTCCAAGACTGAGGGGAAATTCCAAAAGTATTTGCTGGGACATCTATCTCCTCCAACAGTTCCTAGAATGCACACATCCAGATAATCAATGAAAGACCTGGATTATATCTGAGACAAGTTACAAGGCAGTCTGAGGAGACTCCTGTGTGTTCCCCATGCCATGAAATGACATGAAATGGCCCATGGCCGGGCTGCACTGTGTCAATCTACTTGTTGCAGCAGCTATATTTAAGAACAGAATAAAGGCCTGGAAAGCAGACAAGAAACTAAAGTTTGCTTTCTCTATAGCTTCTGTGAAGAAAGAAATTCCTCTTTGAAATAATTCAATTCCAAAGACTTTAAGGCAATCTAAGCTAAAGTTTCTATAGAGCCCACCAGGAGCTTCTGTACAATACCCTGTGTTCTAGGAGTGAACATACAAGGAGACCCAGAGAAAACTGGGACCACTAAACCACAAAGAACATAATGATTGTTAGCAGTACTTAGTAGGTGCCCACACAGTGCATGGCTCATTTCAACGTTATTTAATCTTTTTCACAACCACCACCAACCAGGCAGGTACTAACATTAATCTCCATTGTGCAAATGGGGAAAGTGAGTTTATATGTTAAGTAATTTGCTCCTAATCACACGATAGTACATATCAGAGCCTTACTGAGGACCAGGCCACCTGATTCCAGAGCCCAAGCTCTTGACCAGTACACCTTAGAGACCACGGCTTTTCTAAGCAGTAAGACTATAAACCATCCTCATAGACCTCTCTCCACAAAAAGGACTAAAAGCTGTCACAGATTTTGCAACTTACACAGCACATTGCTCAGTAACACAACAATACACAAAGAAAATGAAATCAAAAAGGTCAAAATGTCTTGGAGGAGACGGCTGAAGTGTTAATCAATATTTGTTTATTGATTTTTAAAAAACAAGTTAAAGGCCCACAGCGCAAGCCTTTACTTCTTTATGACTATGAGACATGGAATTGCTGCAAACGCTCTGTATAACTTGCACCAGCAAGTGCTACTTAAACATTAAATGATAAGACAGGCCCAATAATATGTGGATCTCAAGAAGCAGTTACTATACCCACAGGCAAGCAATACTCTTGCCA